GGTTTCGGCAAACAACGTATTTTTTTAAATAAAAAATAAATAAAAACACATTTTTAAAAACACACACACAGATATAGAGACCAGAAAATAACTTGTCAACCAACTTCCACACCAGCAAAAACCATATCTACACTTGGGAAGACGCGACAGGTGCTTGAGAAACAACTGCCCTCCAGTGTTTACAAAGACTTAGTGATGGGACGGTCCGTCCACTGACAGACCGGACAGCGTCTGACGGACTGGGCTGGGCCGTGGGTGGGGTCTGTGAGGAAGAAGAGCTTCGGGAAGGAGTCTGTTAGCCACGTATTTCAGCAGATGGGTTGGAGGAGCGGAGGGGGACCCGGACCACCGCCGCCTCCTTCGCTAAAGCCGTTGGGCGCTTAATGATAAAAACGCACAGAGAAACAAGAGCAGTTTTCACCACACTTTTCATTTACATGCCGGGACATACTTATCACAGCGACGATCGCTTCATCTCACTGAAGGGGCTCCAAAATGTTACAGAGGAACTGTTACCCGATGCAACTTATTAGGAAAGTAGGTTGTCGGTTTCCAAACCTGACAGGCCCAAGACTAGTGTCCATAAAATGGTAACAACACTCAGGTCACAGGCGAGGTCACTTTAATATTAACACCCGGGTTCTCCTGGCTCAGAGCCCCACCGGTGCAGAGCGCCACCCGCCTCCACGGAGCCTCCCCACCTGTCTCGAGAAGTGCCTGGTTTCACCAGGAACCAGCGTGTGAACCTCTCGGTCTCCCCGAGGACAGCTCACCTGCCCGTTGAGAGAGGCGCCCCGTCATTGCCCCTCCGTAGCTGCCTGCCATGACAAGGGTCTTCCCTGGTTTGGGGCGCCTCTCCTTCAGGGTCCTGCGGATTTTATACAGGGAGGGAAGAAGGTCCCTCCCCAGCTGTGTTCCATTAGGTTCTGCACCAAAAGGCACCTTCCTTCCCAGGGCCTCCTTCTGTAGGGCTGGACCCTGGGGCGGGGCTTCGGGGTGGACATCCCCTTCTCCCTCAGGGGGTGCACCTCTTCCTCCTTAAACAAGAATGAAGCCCTGGTGCATCAACTCTGTCCACTGCACATCTGTGTGCCCGGGGGGCCCTCTTGCCCTCAATCTACTCCGGGTCAGCCGAGACCATGCGGTGGCGGAAATGGGGGGCTTACAGGTCCTCAACGCTCCTCTGAACTCCTGGGACCAGCGGTGTCTCAGGACTGGGAATTTTTCAGGGTAGAAAAAGGTCCAGTGTGGCTACTCCAGGTGTTAGGGCTGGATCCCAGCGGCCGTTCACCGTCTCTTGTCGGGTCAGGTCGGGTTTTGCCACTAGATGTGTCAGTGGCAAACTCGGGAAAGACGTTCTGGTTTTCAGAGCGTGCTTGGTTTTAGAATTGTGGCTGAAGGACTGGGACCTGCCTTTTCCTCCCTCTGGGAGTGGCTGCACGTCCTTTCCTGGTTGGTCCTGCTCCCGGTAGAAGGAGAGAGGAAAAGGGGGAAAGCCAAGCATCGATCGTGCACTGACTGCAGGCCCCGCGTCCATCTGGCTCTCTCGCCTCTGTGACCCCATTAAGGGGGTGGGTGCTGGTAGGGGGGCAGCCTGCACCTCCTGTGCCGGGGAAGGTCAGCTCGGCCTGACCGGGAAGCAGAAAGCTGCGCCTAATGTGTTTACCCAGCGCGGGAGCAGGTGGGAGGTCCATCTGCCAGGCTCTCCCAGCTGCCGCCCCAGGAGAGGGGGCCCTGGAGACGCAGGCAGGGCCCCCAGAGCCCCTCAGGGTCAGTCTCGGGTCGGAGGAGCCCCCTCCTTCCTCCCTTCGATGGAGAAAGGCCTTTTCTCCAAGTGGAGTGGGCGCGAGGGCGGGGTAGTCCTCCCTTCCTGCTGTCCCTCCCGGCCCCTGGGCTGAGAGGGCATTTCCTTCTCCCATAGTCATGGCAACAATGACACTGGCCCCCCCAGGAAGCCTGCTCGGCTCCAGGGAGGGAGTGAAGGGGAACCAAACCAGCATGGCTGGCGCCCAAGGGGTCGCATCTCCTTAGAGCTGGGGCATCTGCTTTAAGGCACCCCCTTCCCCCCGCCCCTCCTGGTGCTCCACCCACACATTCGGTTCCCCCAGCCCAGGAATCCTGGAGGTACCTTTCCTTTCACTGAAGCCTGAGTCGTGACCAATTTAGGGAATTAGAGACGGGCCCCAGGAAATTAGGTGGGAGCCCGGCCGGCGTGGCTCAGTGGTTGAGCGTCAACCAATGAACCAGGAGGTCACGGTTCAATTCCCGATCAGGGCACAAGTCCAGGTTGTGGGCTCGATCCCCAGTGTATGTTTTTGGGGTGGGGGGGAGAAGGCAGCCAAATAAAAATTTATTTTTTTAAAGAAGGAAATGGAAACAGGTCATATTCACCCATCCATCACCCATCCATCTATTATTCCATTCATTCATTCATTCACTCATTCACTCATTCAACCAGCATGACTTTTGCCTTCCTAATGTGCCGGGTGAAATGTCCCTCATCATGGGATGCCCACAGCAGCTGGCACTGTTAGCCTGTGCCTGGCAGGGCCCCCTCCTTGTTTCAGGAAATGGGAATTGCTGGTAAAGTAATGTCAGAGTTGGGTAAACTG